TGAACGGCAACCCTTTGGTTCACAGCCTGCCCTCAATCCACTGAGCTACACCAGCCAGGGCTTGGTTAGGTTTTTAAATGTTTCTTCATCATGACTATAATAAAGGATGCATGTTTCTCATTAGGTATGCTAAAAGTAGCCAAGCTCAGAAGCTGAACAAACAACCCACTGAATTAATTAGCACTTAAAATACGACAATTACATTTGGAGCAAAATTAATTCTTTAAATAAAAAAGGCAGATTTTCCATGACATGTGGAGGCACACGTTTATGGATCAGCCTCGATATATTGCACGGTGATTATAATCATCTGCATAATTCATTCAAACAAAGATATGGCACTCAGAAGCAAAAGACTAGAGGTCAGCAGCTTGTTACTGAATAACAAACCTTCCTAATAAATCACATGGGTGACTTAAAAAAAAAAAGAAAAGAATTACTGCAAAACAAACCTTCCTAACAAATTACATGAACTACTTAAAAAACAAGAGAACTAAATTTAGTTCAAAGCATTCACTTGGTAGTTTATAGAGCCCCAGGCACAGTTTACCTAGGGTGCTTCAGCCCTGAGTTTAGGGGATGGAACATGTCCTAAACAGCGCAGTGAGACATGAACTTAAAGAGACTAGCAGGGAGTGACAAATGTCGCTTTGTAAATATCCATTTTTAGGCCACAAAAAGCAGTGAGAGAAGGAAAGAAAAAAAGGATTCTTAAGGCAACACATAGTTTAAAGTCCTAATTTACAGGATGCCCCATAACACCAGCAGTGTTTTTGGTGGGATTTTTGTTTTCTGATAAATGCTAGAAAATAAATTTAAATATCTATAATGCTGTCAGCCATTAGAGCTACTTCTGATATTTGTTTTTTTTCCTATTTATTTATTTATTTATTTAATTTTTTTTATTGATTATGCTGTTACGGTTGTTCTATTCCCCCTTTCATTCCCCTCCACCCTACCCCCCCATCCCCACCATTATTCCCCCTTTAGTTTATGACCATGTGTCTCAAGTCCTTTAGATTCTATATTTCCCATACTATTCTTACCCTCCCCCCCATCTATTTTCTATCTACTGTCTATGCTACTTATTTTCTATACCTTCTCCCCCCTTCTCCTCCTCCCACTCCCCTGTTGCTAACCCTCCTTGAGATCTTCATTTCTAGGTTTCCACTCCTGATCTAGCTGTCCTTTTAGTTTGCTTTTGTTTTAGGTGTGGTTGTTAATAACTGTGAGTTTGTTGTCCTTTCACTGTTCATGTTTCTTTAACTTCTTTTTCTTAGGTAAGTCCCTTTAACGTTTCATACAATAAGGGCTTGGTGATGATGAACTCCTTGAATTTGATCTTATCTGAGAAGCACTTTATCTGTCCTTCCATTTTAAATGAAAGTTTTGCTGGATAGAGCAATCTTGGTTGTTGGTCTTTGGATTTCATGACTTGGAATACCTCTTTCCAGCCCCTTCTTGCCTGTAAGGTCTCTTTTGAGAAATCTGCTGACAGTCTGATGGGGACTCCTTTGTAGGAGACTGTCCCCTTAGCTCTTGCTGCTTCTAGGATTCTCTCCTTCATTTTAATTTTGGCTAATATAATTATGATGTGCCTTGGTGTGTTCCTTCTCGGGTCCAACTTCTTTGGGACTCTCTGAGCTTCCTGGATTTCCTGGAAGTCTATTTCCTTTGCCAGATTGGGGAAATTCTCCTTTATTATTTGTTCAAATAAGTTTTCCACTGGTGGCTGTTCCTTTCCCCCCTTCTGGTACCCCTATAATTCGGATGTTGGAGCATTTAAAGATGTCCTGGAGGTTCCTAAGACTCTCCTCATTTCTTTGAATTCTTGCTTCTTCACTCTTTTCTGTTTGGCCATTATTTGCTTTCTTCTGGTCCACTCCATTGATTTGAGTCCCAGTTTCCTTTTCATCGCTATTGGTGTCCTGAGCAATTCCATTCATTTCAATTAGTTTCACCTTCATATATTTGTCTAATTTGTGGCTATAATCAACCAGTTCTGTGAGGATCCTGATCACCAATGTTTTAAACTGTGCGTCTAAGAGTTTTGCTATTTCTTCATCGCTTAGATCTATAGGCTCTGGGGCTTTGAGATCTTCTTGAGCCATTTTTGGTCTGTTTGCGCCCTTTAAGTGTGAGAAGCGGCGCCTTGGACTCTCAGGTCGCTGGGTTGTGACGCTATATGTGGGGGCGTGGTCAGAGCGGGGAAATGGCGACCCCCTCTGCTGTTTCGTACTGCTGGATGAGGAGCAGAGGCTTAGGTGGTTCACCTGGGCCGGGCCACTCAGAGTCGCTGGGTTATGACGCTGTATGTGGAGGTGGGGTCAGAGCAGGGAAATGGCGGCGCCCTTCACTGCCGCTAAGCCGCTGGGCCCGGTCCCACCGCCCACTCTCTTGCCTGTCCACCGCGCACAAATGCGGGACCACAGTCAACACGCAGCCCTGCTGTCCCGCTGCCTCTCGCCTGGTCGCTCGCTCGGTCGCTCACTAGGTCCAACCCCGCGCCTGGATTCCGTGCGCCTGAGTCCGTCTGACTGAGTCCTCCCGTGCAACCCCGCTTCACCAGCTGCTGGTTTCGCCCCTTACCGGTCAGGCTGAAGAATTTGTTGTTAACGGACTTCCAAAAAGTTCAATTTTCTGTGTTCTGGCTGTGTTTTCTGTTGCTAATATTTAGTTGTTTCTAAACTTGGTTGTGCGAGAAAGTACGGCAAATCCACCTGTGCCTCCATCTTGGCGGAAGTCTACTTCTGATATTTGGTTTATTTCTCTCTAGCTCTTTTGTTGCTGTCCTTTTATTATTTATTTATTTATTTATTTATTTTTTAGAGCAAGGGGAAGGGAGGGATAAAGAGTGGGAGAGAACATCAATGTGTAGTTGCCTCTCACGTGTCCCGTACTGGGGGCCTGGCCTGCAACCCAGGCCTGTGCCCTGACTGGGAATCAAACCTGCGACCCTCTGGTTTGCAGGCCAGTGCTCAATCCACTGAGCCACACCAGCCAGGACAGTCTTTTTTCTATATACATATTAAAATATGTTAATTTATTTTTTCCCTTGCTAAATTTTGACTCCCCCTTTTTTCACTCAACAACGTATCCTAAGTATTTTTTTCCAAACAGGATTTTTACATAATGTAGTATTATGGTCATATGGTCGGTCCTATGGTCGGATCATAATTTATTTGACCAAACATCTCTACTAAACACTGAACTTAATCCAGGTTTGTTTGGTTTGTTTTTTTTTTTACAATTTTAAGTAACATGTTTGAAAAACTTCTTGAATATAATTTGCTTATATCTTCAATTATTTTCTTGGGCCAGATTCCTAGAAGTGGAATTTACTGGGTCAAAGGTCTGAACTCCTTAAACTCCTAATCAACACTACATTCCAGAAAAGTTACACAATTTATATCTCCATCAACAGTATCACTGCTCTTTCCCCATCTTTGTGGCTCCGACCGGATCAGAAGATCAGGGGCCAACCACCGATGAGGAGCCCTGGACCCCAAACAAAACAAGAGTAAAACCTTCCCCCTTCAGAAACAAAGGGCTGGTCACAAATATGAACATGAGAGGTAAAAAGGAGAGGACGCTGCCTGTCCCAGCCCCAGCAGACCGGCAGCGGCTCCCCAAACTCGCCAGCCTTTCTCACCCCCGGGAACGTAAGGAAACACAGTTCCCTGGAACGTCTCCAACCCGCCACTCGCTCGCCGACCTGCCTGCCTTTTTCCTTCGGGGCTTTTGCAGCAACCCCCAGTCTAAGTGAAACAGTCTTCCACTCTGCTTCAACAGCACCCCGCACTACCTCTGTTTTAAAGCTCATTTCATACTTTCAAATATAATCAATGGTCTGTCCCTCACACTAGACACTGACTTCCTCCAGGACCAGAACTGTGTCCTCATTCCCTGCAGTACTCTCAGCACCTACCCAAGTTCCTGTGATACAATCCGCACTGATGAAAAATTTCTTCACTGAATTATCATTCACAAAGCAGAGTGTCTAGGGCAGGGGTGAGAGAACTTTTCTGTCTGTAGAGGACCAGACAGCAAAAACTCCTGGCTCTGGAAGCCACGTGGTCTCAGTCACAAATACTCAACTCTGCTTTGTAGCACAGAAGTAGCTATAGGCGATATGTAAATGAATGGACATGGCCATGTTCCAATGACACTTTATTGTCTAAGCCAGGTGGCAGGCCAGATTTGGGATGTGGATCATAGTTTGCCAATGCCTGGTTTAGAGGAAGAAACTTTACATTTTAAAAAAGGGGAGAAAAAAAAGATAATGATGAAAAGACTATAAGAGACTTAAACGTTTAAACCTGTGCGAAGTTTAGGCTGTACTAATACAACTCAACTACTATCCCTTCGTACTCTCGAATCCCTTTAGTCTGTGACCTGGTCCGCTGTGCGAAACAACTGAAGGAGGCAGGACAGGGTGGCACCGTGACGAGAGCCGGACACGGGTGTCGGGCCTCAGTCACAGGCCAAAAAGGACCCGCAGGATAAGGAGTGGGGATGGGCTGAAACACGAAGGAATTTGATGGGACTTTTAAATCTGTACAATCATTTTGAATAGACTAAGTATTGGTAAACCTGGGAGAGACACACAGTATATTATGAAAACAGGTTGGAGGTACGCAGAGTCAACAGCTCAGAACTTCAATAGCTCAGAATTATGCGTCCCAACAACCTATGTGCCTGCCCGCATGGATCCAGGACAAGGAGGTGAAAATGACATCCTGCAACGAGAGAACGGCCATCCGGGTTCAAAAGCAAGTCCCTTCTAATTGCGGAGGCTTCCTGCCTCTGACTCCAGGTCAGCCCACCCCGCCCCAAAGCCGCAGCCTCCCCACCTCCCTCCGGTGTTCTGACTGCTTTGCCTGCAGCAGTGGAAGATCGAGCAGGCCTGGAGATCAAGCCTGCGTGGACCGCGTGGACCTGTCTTCTCCGGAACGTGCGCAGTCCGCCTGAGAAGCCAGTGTACTCAATCAGAGCCTTACTTTTCATCGTCCCTTCCTCTTCCTCATCCTCGGCGTTGATCACCATGGTGCCCAGCTGTGACGCCAGTGTGTCATCGTGCTCAATCATGGTATTGGCCCCGTCGCTCATGGTGCTGGCTACTCGGACAGTGCCCATCTCGTCACCCGCTGCTCGGACCATCGTGCCAGAATCCAGTTCATCCTCCTCCTGTAAAAGGACGAAATCTCAAATTGGGGCTGGCTTGACCAGAAGCGAGTTTTCTGAATCACTATTACTCATCTTGGGGCAAGTATTTCTGGATTTGATGCTTACTGAGGTTCTAAACCCACTTGGTAGAGCTGAGAGCACTCTTATTTATCCAAAGAACATACATTTACCCACGTGAGAGCAGTGTATCTAACCCTAAAGGACCTTCTCCCTCTCCCCTTCTCAACAGACAGATCTTAGGAGCTGAGATGCAATGCCCTTGAATCTCAGGGTTGTGAAGGAGTCTGGCAGTGTCAGATGTACACACTTAGGAGTCCTAGATTCCCCTAAAGGACACAGAAAAACCAAGTCTCAGGCCTCAGCATTCTCTTTCCCGAATAACAAGTTACATTGAATAAAAAATAAAAATTGGAAGTGTCTCAGGAAGCGTTATGAGAAGAGCAAGCGAGGACAGGACAGTCATGCAAGACGAGTCTCCAGCTCCAGGCTGACCCCATATCCATGTGTCTGGCCCGGCTTGGTGATCCTGAAATAAGAGACATTCATGCCCAAGGCCCACAGCCAGGTGTGCCACTCACCGAGTTTTCTTCATCCTCCTGGTCCACCTCCCGCTGCTGGGCTTCCTGGCGTTTCAGTTTCACATCCATGGCTTCGTTAATCAAGTCCCGCAGGATCGACACTCCTTTGGCGCTCTTGACAAACGGGTGCTTAAACAAGAAAGGGAAAAATGCCGGGACAGTGCGTGGGCGACGGTGCCTAACGGTGCCTGGCACACTGCAGCTACTTGATAACCACTGTCGAGTCAGCCAGCGAAGTTCATCTTTCTCGTTTGTCGTTGGACAACAGCTAACCACACTCACTTTGTAAGTGAGCAGATGCACAATCGGGCTTTGCCCACCCTGTCTGGCCTGGCTGGCACTGTCTCCCCCCTTTCTCTCTGCCAAATCTAGAGATTCTCAACAGGATGGAATCACCCCAGGAGGAAGCTCTGTAGTGTTGGGAGCTTGTAGTTACGATGTTGGAAGAACAGGAGCAGCACGAGAGGAGAGGCAGGGACACCACACTCGGGCACAGCAACAAGGGGCAGCGGATTCCGCACACCTTTTAATGTCTCAGAGGACACGCACCCTTTGATAAATGATGCTGATAAGCAAGCTGTCTAGGAATTTGGGAGGTGAGTTTGGAGCAGGGGGCTTAAAGGGAATAAAGACATTGTTTAGAAATCAATGAATAACTTACTCACCCTGCTTATCCTTTCTATTCAATGTGCTACAGCATTTCCAACTACATATTTAGGTAAATATGTATTCAGTGTAAAAGTGAAGTTACTGCAGAAGTACCATGAACACTGTAACAGATGTGGGCTCACATATTCAATCAGCAGAGACACTTGAAGCATAGAAATATTACTGGGTTTCATTTATAAAAGTGAAGTTTTTAAATACTGACACCATCTTACATTTTTGCTGTTTGTAGCACAACTATAAGAAATCTACGCTGTGAAAGTTACATATAGAAATTCCTCACAGGCGGGGTTGGGAGGCAGTTGCTTGTTGCTTTCCAAACTTGTTCTGATACCGTCCCCACTGTTTCTCTCTGTACTCCATTCTGTTCCCCACGACCTATTCGAGGACACGGTCTCCAGGTTCTTGGTAAATGCTCTACGGACCGAAAGCGCACCTCACCAGGTGGTGGGATCACAATGCAGGCGATCTCTTTTCCGTAAGACTTTATCAATACCCCAGCCAGGCAGGAAAGGAATTTGCCACTGCACTTGGAAATAAGACCCAATTGTTTGCAAGAAAATCCTATTTCCTGTTCTACTTGGAAAGCCTACACAATCATTTCCCTCCTCCTATCGTATACGAAAAGTCTGGTCTGCCATTATTTAATATGAGTTTTACGCAAGTGCCCACCCTTCCTATTCCCGTATTTCGTACATGGAATGCTTTCTGTTCTCTTTACTGCTCTTAAATCTAAATTCCTTCCTGATGAGGCACAGGCCTCTACTTCATTGTGTCTCAAGTTGAGTAAAGCTGGAGCATTCCTGTACTGACAAATACATTATTTCACTATAAATTATCTGTACATGTCTCTGTTGTACCACAGATGTTATACTGATTCTTTGAAGTTTATGGGCACTAATAGATTTATCATCTGTGAGTTTCATTCCAGAAGAGTAATGAGTGTTAAAAAATACGTGCATATATATGACGAAGTCTGTCTGAAAAAAGTCCAGCTGTTGTTAATATTACGAGAACGGTTTGCACGACATTGACGTAACCCGGCAGCCAAGGAGAGTGGACTGGGATGCGCATGCATGAGCACTGATGACTTCACTGTGCTAGTCAGTGGGGGGCAGTAGACACTGTAAAGTGAGCACGTGTACTGTGTGGCCATCGAACTGAGAATGACTGAGCAAGTAGAACAATGAATCTGCATCATATTTTGTGTTAAACTTGAACATTCCTCTGCGAAATCTATACATATGATTCAGAGGCCGCAGCTGTGGGCAACGGGTGACTGGCAGCTTCATCACGACAACACGTCTGCTCATGCATCATGTCTCGTGCAGAGTTTTTGTGAAACATCAAATCACCAAGTCACTCAGCCCCCCTACAGCCCAGATTTGGTGCCCTGCAATTTCTGGCTGTTCCAAAAACTAAAATCACCTTTGAAAAGGAAGAGATTTCAGACTGTCGATGAGATTCAGGAAAATATGACGGGGCAGCTGATGGCGACTGGGAGAACTACGTGAGGTCCCAAGGTGCCTACTTTGAAGGGGACTGAGGCATCACTGTCCTGTGTACAAGGCTTCTTGTACCTTGTATCCTCTTCAATAAACATCTCTATTTTTCATATTACGTGGCTGGATACCTTCTGGACAGACCTCATACATATGGGGTCCGATCTGATTGAAAACCATTGGCTCAGCTCAATAATAACAGGGAATATTTGTCAAATCCGTATCATACTACCTTTAATACGTGTAAATTATTATTCAAAGTTATACATCACTTAATATTCATAACCTGTGAGACAGATACTTTATCTCCACTTTATAAATAAAAGAACTAACGTAACGCAGAAATTATATTACTTGCCTAAGGTCATGAAGCTACTAAATAGAGAGCCAGGATTTGAACCTGGGCAGTCCGAACTCCAGAATCCAAGCTCCTAAGCACTAAGCATGCTGCCTGCCAAACGCCACCCATCCTCCAGGTCCAGGCACAATGGCCACCTCCGGCAGGAAAGTGCTCCGAGAATCTCCAATCCAAAGCACCCTCTTCCACCCTAAGCTACGGTACCACCTACCACCCTTCTCCGTTCTTGCCAGAACGGGGTCGATTTGACAGCACTCCTGCCTTGGAATCAAGAAGACCTAGGTTTGAATCTCTGCGCTGCTGTTGGCCTGCTGAGTGTCCACAGAAGAGTTAACCTGTGTAAGCTTCCACTTCCCATCTATGAAAATGAAGGATCCCACCCCTCCCAGGGTCTGTGTCATCATTTAATGACTGAGCACATGAAAAGCACCCAGCACCCAGCAGGTGCTCACACACAGTCAGCTCTTATTCTCCAACCCCAGAGAGCCCCTTCTTTCCTCGTCATAGCGTCTTCTTCCATGATTTAACACTCTTTTCTACGTCTTTCCTGCTGAGCTCCAACCCCCGAGAGGCGGTAAGTTCCGTACCCCTTTGCTGTGCCCGGAGGTGGGTTAGCAAATACTCACCTGCAGCAGCTGCGTGGCCGTGGCCCGCTGCTCAGGGCTCTTTACAAGACACTGCTTCACGAAGTCCATGAAGCCGTCGGACCACAGCTCTGGCTTTCGGAACGTGGGAGGCGGGTTGGTAGGAATCATGAAGATTGCCTGGTTTTATAAAACAAACAAAAAAAGGTTTAGTGAAATAAAAGTGACACTCCAATAAAAATGGAACTAGAAATACATTTGACATTTGATGATAAAGTTTTTCTCTTACCCACTGAAGAGGCCACCCAAATTCCAACAAAAGTCAGAGTCTTCAAAGTAAGACGTACGACTCGCCTTTCCCCGCCCTCTCCTCCTCCCACATGTGTGTTCCTGTCGCCCAAACCTCACAACACCCACCAACCTCTTTTCGATTTTTCTTAACCGCAGGACATTGCCTTTCAAAGTGAAAAGACAAGACCTGAGAGCACCCGCATCCTGAAGACAAAACCTCAGCCCCAGAGCTGTCACAGTCCCCTCCCCCAGAGGACACCGCCACCCGTGGATGTAAGCAGTGACTCCAAGGAGACCATCAGCCCAGGAGTCCCTGAACTGTAAGTGATTCATCAATTTCCAAGCAAGCCAGTTCAACGTACTCGAAAAAATAAAAATGGCCTACAACACAGCAATTAGTTAAAAAAAATAAATAAAACTATTACTTATTGAGTTTTCAATAAAAGAGCCACAGTTTAAAAAAACCTATTTGCAATAATCAGCTTAAATTACGGTCTTTAGATCTAAAAATATAACCACAAAGCATCCCACCTTCCCCACTTCTGTCCCCCCACAAAGACAGAAGTTTACCTTTAGGTCCATGAATACTTTTTAAAATATAACCATTAAGTCTTTCAATATGACAACGAATTAACCAGCGAAGAGAAGGTGCTGGGTTGGGAGGTAGGAAAACTACAAAGCCCCTGAGGAGGGGTCAGTGGTGAGGGGTCCTGGGGGCGGGCTCAAAGCCTGCAAACCCCTCATGGTGTTTCGGTGGAGAGCAAATCTCCAGGCCCCGAACACTCTAGGAGGAGACGCAGGTGGGAGGGCACAGAGCCTCCGGCTGAAGAGAGTCTGGGGAGCTACCAACCAGAACTTGGATATTTAAATACGTGTGAGAGCCAGGCAGGAAAAAGACAACACATGAACCAGCCTGGGCGTTAGCCGCATGAGTTCAAAAGAATAGTTTGCTCTCCTCTTAATACTACTTACTGTAAGACAAACGTTGGAGAAAACACCGCAGTAGGTGACAACTGACACTTGGCCAATGGAATTGTGGAGACCGGTCAAGTAGGAAGCCCCCTGCCCTGTATAAAGGAGGAGGCCGCTACTCGGCTCCAGTTAATATTGTTATGTTAAAATGTGAGCACCTAAACTGAAAAAACAGACACCGCACAGGTCCCACCAAGCATTCTGGGGCCCGTGGCCTGCCTGGAGCTAGAGACACACAGCTTCCAGAATGAAGGGGGGTAAATCTTCCTTGAATTAATTAGAGACGACAGGCAGCAGAGGTGTATCATCTGGAGTCTAGACTGACACTTACCAGTGACACACAATCAATTCATTTACCTTTGGCACCTAACCAAGTACGTCATTTAACTAACTTTCTAACGATGACAGTGACTAAGCAGCCCACGGTTTCCCGTCCGTGTCTCACCCTCATCGGATGGATGTCGGCGTACGGGGGCTTCCCTTCAGCCATTTCTATAGCAGTGATGCCCAGTGACCAGATGTCTGCCACGCAGTTGTACCCAATTTCCTGAATCACTTCGGGAGCCATCCAGAACGGTGTCCCTATGACCGTGTTCCGCTTGGCCATGGTATCCTGACACAGAAGGGAGACAGGTGAACACGAAGCATTAAAACTGTTAAGAGAAAGAGGCTTTTCCCACAATAAGAAATGTCTTCTACTTGACATACATACAGAAATCATACCCCAGGCATGACCGAGGAAGTCACAAAAGAAATTCAAATGACCTAGAGACATAAAACATTCTCACATAAAAAAATAACAATCAATCCACCAAACACTAAAATAAGACAGACAAAAATTAAAAAGATTACTGATAACTAGTGTTGACAATGTACCACTGTTATTACAATATTGTTATAACAATATTACACTGTTATTCAAGTATAAACTGGTACAACTTTTAGTAGGTGATTTGGCACTATTTATTAAACTTAATGTCCATATCCTTCGGTCCAAATTTATTTCTAGACCTGTATCTTATGTGTGGGTACCCCAAGATATACAGAGGGGACAAAAGGGTGTTCACAGTTGGGCATATGTGAAACCCAGAGTTCATTCCTGTAGTATTGTTTACTGTTAGATAACCGTTTCTATGGACAACTGCACACCAGCTCTGGCCTTGTTCCGTATGTGCAAGTTTTGTAGAAATAGTTGTAATGGGTAGGGAGAGGGAAGAGAAAGGAAATAACCCAAATGACCATCTGAAGTTAAAAACAATAAATACCCATACAATGAAATACCACATTGTAAAAAAAAAGATAAATACATTTTTCTGGCATGGAAAAAATATGTACAAGGTACATTGTGAAGCAAAAAAATAGGTCATGAAATTATATATAATATAACCTGTTTTTGTAAAAGAAAAATAATGGAGCAACAACCAATAATAATAAATATTGTTGTTATATGGATAGCAAAAAAAAGAAACAAAACCAGAAAGCTCAAATAACATACACCAAACTACTGCCCTGGCTGGTGTGGCTCAGTGGACTGAGCGCCAGCCTGCGAACCAAAGGGTCTCCAGTTGATTCCCAGTCAGGGCACAGGCCTGGTTGTGGGCCAGGTCCCCAGTAGGGAGTGTGTGAGAGGTAACCACACACTGATGATTCTCTCCCTCTCTACCACCCTTCCCCTGTCTAAAAATAATAAATAAAATCTTTAAAAAAATAGATTAAACTATTAACAATTGTAGGCAGAAGTTAAAATCACTAAAGACTTCTTTCCATCCCATATCTTTCTGTAACACTCTATGGCTTACATGAGCATGCATTACATGTACAAATGGGAAATTAAAGAAAATTATATATGCATGTGCAGATGCATATACGTACATGTATAATTTAATAGTATATTTTATATAGTATGTACATATATTTCTGTATAATATGCGTGCACACAGGCAAATGTGTGCATGCATATTATACAAACTAAGACTATATAAAGTCTTAGTTTGGGGGTTAAAGAGGAATAAATGCGTACAGTACACACAGGCAAATGACCACCTGCAGGCTTCCCCAGGGTGGCATGCCCTAATGAAAGAGAGCCTTCCTAGAATTCCTGTATTTTAGGAAAAGAAGGATTTTAAACTGATAAGAACAGATACTACCCTTGACCTTAGCCAAAAGGCCTAGACGCGATGGGAAAAGAAGGATTTTAAACCACTAAATATGCAAAAGAACTTCCCGTCATCTTCACCCATCTTCCTTCTGCAGTGCCTCTGGCTTAAGGTAGGTTATGTCAGTCAGGAGCAAAGGACAGGTAACAGTGTTAAATCGATCTCAGTGTGGTGGGCCTGTGTAAAAAAATTAACACAGGAACTACCTTGCTGCTTAGTCATTTCCTTTGCTCTGAAACTCGAAATCTGCAGGGGCATTTTCAAACGGTGGCAGTCAAAGTTGTTTTTCAAGGATTATAACTAGAAATGGGCATTTGAATAACTAGAAATTCTTTGAAAATTAAAAGTGATGAGTAGATACTAAACCAACTAGATCAATGGAAAATATTAAAGTCCAGAAACAGACTAACATGTTCCAGGTAGATTTCAAATTAAAAAAAATAATACCAGCTCTAAAACAGCAAACAGACAAAATATATCTATATAATCTACCACCTAAGAAAAGTGTTGGAGATATAACTTCGTTGCAACTGTTACTACCTACCTCTCCAGACTGTTTTTATTTTTTCTACATGTATTTCATACACACTTACATGTTTTACAGAATCAGATAATTAATGCTAGACTTCCTGTTTTGAAAACTTTTCGTTGCTACGCACTGGTGAGGCAGAAGGCGCATCGAGAGGCTGCATCCTGGCACCGAGTGAGGACAGTGTTTTTAGTAACTGCCAACTGCTGCCTGCACGTTCAGTGAGAAGACACTATGTCTTGCTCAAGGAAAGCAGTCTGGATTTAATTTTCCTTCCTTTTATAAATACAATGATGGCACCCAATATAGTTTAAACTAACACTCTGTCATTTCTTGTTTTAGAGTTTATTTTTTATCAAAGTTAACCAAACTTAAACTATGGGACCTGAACTCTAGGAAAGAATCGAAAATAACCTATTAGCTCTTTGGTAAGCTATTGGTACCTTTATGATTTTTCTCCACTAATAAAATTGCATCAAATATTATATCTTAAAAACAAATAAATAAAACGAATTCCTTCTCAGGGCACAGCGGAAAGCTACCAGGACAAGGCAACACCCATACTCACTGTAAGTTGCCCTGCTACCCCGAAATCTGCAAGTTTTGCATGTCCTTCTGTATTTAGCAAGATATTTCCAGCCTTGATATCTCGGTGTATTTTTCTCATAAAATGAAGGTATTCCAGTCCCTTAAGTGTTGATTGTAATATCGTAGCTATTTCATCTTCTGTTAACTGAAAAATAGCACGAGAAATCAAAATTCTATCAGTGCACATCAGTATACTGAAAGAGGGAAAAAGAAATTGATCCAACCCCTTTCCCAGAATATAAACACAAGATCTCATTCAACGTGTAAGCAGCATTTGACAACTTGTAATATCATTGCTGCGCGGACCACTCCCAAAGTTGTGTCCCGGCCGAGATCGCTCCCCAAACACGACATTCATGTATCTGCCTACACAACATCTCCAACGAATACCTAACAAGTGTCAAAAGCACAACATGTCCGACTCAAATTCTTTATTTCTGCCACCACCCCACCCTTCTTCTTACCACCCACCCACCCGAAGCTATTCTCCGTATCCTCTCTCTCAGTAAAAGGCAATTTCATTGTTTCAGCTGCTCCAAAAATCTTGAGGTCATTCTTGGTTGTTCTCCGTCTTCAAAATATATCTAAATATATCCTCTGCAATCACCCTGGTCCAAGCTACCATCATGTCCTGCCTGAACTAGTCTAATAATTTCCTAACTGGTCTCTTTGCTTCTGCCCTTGACCTTCTACAATGTACTTTCCTCACAGAAGCCATAAAAACCCTTTTAAAATGTAAGCCAGATCTGCTCAAAACCCCACAGGCTTCCTAAGTCACCCCAAGTTAAAAGGCAGTCCTGACCAAGGGCTCACACGACCTGGCCCCCGCTACCTGCACCTTCTACCAATTCCCACCTTGCTCCTTCGTCCCAGCTCTGCAGGCTTCCTCCGTGCTCCTCGAACGCTCTAAGTTCACGTCCGCGTCTGCGCCCTTCCACCTGCTGTTCTCTCTGCCTGTGGTGCTCTTCATCCAGATTTCTGTATGACTTGCTCCCTCACTTCACTGTTTCTGTCCAAATGTCACCTCATCAGAAAAGCAGTGGCCCTCCCTGGCTCCCTCCACTCCGACATCATTCTCTACCCCTTATCCTATCTGATCGGTCAAAGCAGCATCACCACCATTTGACATATCACACATTATTTGTGTACCTATTGATGGGATGTCTTGCCTATTGGAAACATACGCTGCATTTAAAAAATGTCTTTGATCTGCTTACTACTGAATCCCTAGCTCCAAGAAAGCCAGCTGACACGGAGCAGGGTCCTGAAAAAACCCCTGTTGAGTGATGATGAACACACAAAAGCACACCGGAGACAGACACAGAAACCCGATCAGTCCCAGTCCTGAACACGCTCAATCCACAGGTTTCCGCCCAGCTGCCCTCATGACAGACAACTCACATTCAGAAGGGAGTGCACTGTGGTGCCAAATATATGCCCTTTGGAAACAGAAAGACCCAGCTTTCACTCTGGGCTCTACTTTCTAGCTGGGTGACTTAACCCAGTTATCCAACTTCTCTTAGTCTCAGTTTCTCAAACTACAGAATAAAAATATCACCTGTCTTCAAGAGTGTCATGCAAATGAAATGATACAAAGCATAAGAGAATATATACAGTTTAAGAACTACTACACTATCAACCAATCAACACATATTTAAGAAGCATGTATTATGAACCGGGTACTATGCTTAAAAATAGCTAACAATTACTAGGCCTTTAATCTATACTAGGTACTATTTTTATAATCTCCTTTACTCCTTTAATAATCAAATGGGGTACATATATATAATTATCATCACCATTTTACAGAGGACAAAGCTGAAGCCCAAATTAAGTAATCTGTGCCAAAGGTTACAGAGCTAATAAATGGTAGCGCCTTCACTAAGTCCCGGCAGACGCTAGCGGCAGGGTATCGAACAAAAGTGTGGGGTACCCTCTGTGACCAAAGAGGCCAGAGCTCACCACTGGCTTCCTGGCTCCTTATTCTAAACAGCTGGGCTAATCGTCACAGTAGTGGAGCCCCAAAGAAATCTACTGGAGCCACAAGTAACAGCTTTCAATTTTGTAGTACCCACACTTGAAAAAGAAAAAAATAACAAGCAAAATTAACTTTGATAATATATTTTACTTAACCATATTTATCCAAAATATTATCATTCCAAAATAAGTTCAATGTAAAATTACTTAATATTTTTTACATTCATTTTTGGGGAATAATTCTTCACCATCTGGTGTTTTAAACTTACGGCATATCTCAATTCAGACAAGCCATATTTCAAGTCCCCAATAATCATATGTGGCTGGAGACTGTCATGCAATCCCCGTGTAGCAAACACTCTTTCACGGAAAGGGTTCTCTGACTGCCAGGCTATAAAGTGAATCTGTGAACACTGTGGGTAGGAGAAGAGAGCTAAATCCAAACTCAAACATTTAAATGTACTGTTTAGCCAGGACTGGACAGTCATTTCTTCCCCAATACAACGTAAGTACAGCATGTAACGGGTTGTCAAAACTGCCACATTTAAGAGCCATCCAAGGGCACATGGAAGGGGGCGGACCATGGAACGGGGAACATTCGATGGTAGGAGAACATTCGATGAAGAGAGATACATGGGAGAAGGCAGAGGAAAGAGGATAGCATAAGAGACCGGCTCGGTGGCATTATTCTAGAAGGCAAACTTACTGTCTTATTTCGTAATCGAATGATATCAGACACAGAACCGGCCCCACAGTACTCCATCACAATCCACAAGTCTGTGTTCTTAAAATAGCTGCCATAGTATTTGACTACATGTGGGCTAGAGAGAGAGAGAGAGAGAGAGACAATGCAAATTAGTGGGAAAGCCTTCACACATCTCCATTAATTTGTGCTGTTAAATACCTGAAAATGTCTCTGCTCAAAAGATCAAGTAGTCATATTTATGGCTGAAATGGACACCCTCCTGATAAGAATGTAAACTAGTATAATTTTTCTGGGGGACAGTATATAACAAAAGTGGGAAAAAATGTATGGGTGCTTTAACCTAGCATTCTTAAGTGTAGAATTCATTCTAAAAAAAGTATAGCTATTCAATGAAAACAAATGATCGCTATTATAGTAGTGTTCATAAAAATGAAAATTTAGGATGCCATCTAAATGTCCAACATTAGGGCCCTGGCTATAGTGGCTCAGTGGATTGAGCATCATCCTGAAAGCTGAAAAAGGTGGCCGGTCGCTGGTTTGATTCCCTGTCAGGGCACATGCCTGGGTTGCAGGCCAGGTCCCCAGTTGGGGGTGTGCGAGAGGCAACCAATGGACATTTCTCTCCCTCTCTTCCTCCCTCACTTCCCCTCTCTCTAAAAAAGTAAATAAATATTTAAGTGTCTGACATTAGGAAGTTTAGTTAAAAAATAATGAGCTATCCATAAAATGAAATAGCCATGAATCCATGGAAAATGTCACAGAATACTGATAACAGGAGAAGATACCCTATTCATACACACACACACACAGAATGGAGGTTACGTAACAGTGGAACTCCAAAAAGAAATATGGAGGCATACAGACACCAAGAAGCATTTAACAATGACTATTTCTCCAAAGGGAAAAGTGATTTTATTTTCTTCTTTTTATTTGCATTTTTCCAAAAGTCACATGTACTTTGGGGGAAAATCCACTACGATGTACTATAAAGAAAAAATTAGGGGTTTCAGGCCTGAAGAGAGATGCCAAATAAGGAAATTCAAAGGAAAGTTAGGCCCTGGCTGGTATAGCTCAGTGGATTGAGCGCAGGCCTGCGAACCAGACAATCGCGGTTCAATTCCCAGTCAGGGCACATGCCTGGGTTGCAGGCCAGTTCCCTGCAGGACAGTTCCCAGCAGGGATTGCACGAAGGCAACCATACATTGATGTTTCTCTCCCTCTCTCCTTACCTTCCCCTCTAAAGATAAACAAATAAAATCTTTAAAAAAAGAAAAGTCAGACATGCCATTAAAAGGAAATACTTTGCCATTTGAGAGCAACCAGCTCTAATCAGCTACATCATCACCAGGGCTAAACAACACTGCATAGTAACTGAAGATGTTAAAATCCACTCAGCTTCATCAACTCTCAGAATTTCAAGTCCCTGTGTCTTTGGGAAACATGCCAATGACAAGGGCAGCAGGAATAAAACCGCATTAAGTGGCTATTAACAAAGAAATGGATGAATACATCTCTTAAGGTACATTATCACCACCCTTGCTCTCTCCTAAATCCCTGTGGTACTACGGCTTTTACGAGGCAACACTGTCAGGTACTTCCTGTTGGAACGTGCCCAGTCCGTCTTGCATTTCAGCTGGTCTTTCCTGTGCATTCAGATGCCTGGCCCGTCCAATCAGCCTACTCCCCAAGAATGAGAACTCAGCCCTGTCTCTCTTGATGTTTCTTATAGCACTTAGCACAGAGTAGGATCTTCAGAATATCTCTTCTTAAAGAATGACAGACATTGGTACACCCTGTCTGCAACACAGTTCTTGCATAGTTGCTCAAAAGTGGCAAAGTCCCTTAATAGAAAAAAAAAAACAATAAAAATAAGCTATTTTTTAAAAAAAGGGCGAAGTCCCAATCAGCCAACTGGACAAAGCTCCTGTACTATATCTTACGGGGGTGGAAAAATCAACACTGCTAACTTACTCTGGTCAAGCGAATGGAGAAATACGAGGTTTTTAAAAATCTCATACTGAGTAACCACCAAAGTGTAGAGCATAAGAGAGAGGGAGGGAGAAGAGAGATGACTGTATTCATGAGTCTGTGAGACGTAAGGGCTCCTTGGCACATCGCCACCTGCCCTAATGTTGAAGGGTTATGTACAGAAAAAACCCCGAAATAGGAGGTACCAAGTTCACCTGCGAACTAAAAAAGCTGCAGAAGAATTAATGCAACCTCAAGGGCAGGCCTGTCTCACTCTCCTGTCAACTCCCCAGAGCTGGTGTTGCCCTAAGTGTGTGCTTCTCTCCAGTCTCAACAGTACTGAGGAAGTCCGCTCCATCACTGTGACCACGCATGTTGTCACGGAAGTTCAGGGCAGAGACCACGTGCTTTTCTGCGGTCGCCTGTTGGCCTGACTTCCTGCTACGGCTTCTGGCAAATCTTAGTTCCTCAAAGATAAAATATTTAGCTACTCCTGGCTTGAATAATTTCTTAAAAATTAACAGTAATACAGAAATACTAACAGTAATACAAAAATAAGTCTTCTCTTTTTACAGACCTATCTGTATAGTCTAAGGTTCCTAAAGCTTAAAGCATTAGAATGATCTCTTCTTAGTTGTTGCTGTAGAAATGATTTCTCAATAGGAAGTAAGAGATCATTAAAAAAAAAAAACTAGCAACATCTTCTCTCTCTTTGCCTCTTCTTCCTGGTTTTAAAAAGGGCTTACTGAAAAAAACAAAACAAAAACCTACGCAGAAATAGAAACTATAAAAGATAAACTACTAAAACACACAAGGTTTCTCACATTTTTCTGAAAAACAAACAAAAAAAAACATGCATAGTGATTCCATTAAACTTTCCCTTCTGCAAAACAACTAAGTAAACACAACCCTAGGCATCGAACTCTATTTCAATAATCACAGCAAGTTCAAGATCATGTTCTCGCTGAAGTCATACCACATGCCTTTACCTGTCACACTGCTGCATTATAGAGATTTCTTTGATGATCTCCTGCAGGTCTGACTCCACAGGCACTTGCTTAATAGCCACAATCTGACCGGTCTCCTTATGAATAGCTTTGTATACGCTGCCATAGGACCTGCAATTGGGGGAAGGAGAACATTTATAAAGTCGGAGCAAGCCAAGAGATAAAGGTGGTAAAACACAAGCAACTTACAGCTCTAATTCATATGCCTAAGTGCTAATACATACATACTTAGCTACATTTGCAAAACTGAGATAGCTAAAGCACTTAGGGGGAAAGCATTGGCATTAAGAGAACTACCACAAAGTGGCATCTTTAAAAACTTGACATTTAAATTGTACTAAATGTATTAGTATGAAATAATTGTTATAGTAGCCACTACTGCATGCCTGATGTCTGCCAGAAACTGTGCACCATCTCAGTTCATCCTTACAAAAAACAATGAAGAAAGGGTTATGATCCCTATTTCACAGGTACATTTGAAAAGGCTCAGGGATCACATGACTTGACCAAGGTCACCTAATTGATAAGTAAGTGGTCAGTCCGGAATTTGGATCCCTATCCTGAGTCATAAAAGTAGATGCCTGTGTTTACTTGCATTCACTCCAACACTGAGAAAGGTCTTGCATGCCTTGCGCCTCTTACTTGCAACAAAATTTAAAACACTATGGAAACAAATTAAATATCTAAGCCTCTTCAAAGGCTAGTATCAGGTGACCAGAGCACATACATATTTTTTTGCCTTCTACTCTACCTTAAAGAGTTTATTACCCAATAAATAAAAAGCATATGTATCCATTCAATTTAGAGGCTACAAGAGTATCAGATTTAGAATCTGAAGTCCCAGGGTTTTAGTCCCACCACTACATTTACAGACGTAGTATGAACCCTATTGTGCCTCAACTTTCTCATCTAAAATGACAACACAAACTACGAGACAACTGTGATGGTCAAGTGACATGCCATCATCATCTGAAACAGACTGCATCTTCGTTGAAATCCTGATGGCTGTCAGTGAAATAACGAGTAAACTGGCTTTCATGGTTCCCAAATACACCTGTTTCTTCCTATTGTCTTGGTGAGCAAAAATCAGAGTAACAGTGCAACCTAACATATCAAAGTAGCTGAGTGCTCTAAGCTGCCAAAATGGTACCCATGAATCGTTTCAAGGTGTTTTTAAAAACCTATACGCACATAAAAAACTTCCACTCTGTCAAAATCCCATACATTGGAAAACTAGTGTAATGGTCCTTAAATGTTACATAAAACTTTTTTCTGTTGCAAGAGTAAAGCAGCCACTGACCATGCGGAGAAGACCCTACTTCCTTGCTAAGATAATCCTCTGATTTGTCAGGGTGGCAGACCCTGGTCCCAGGGGATTAAGCAAGGTGGTCCAAGGCAGCCACAGTAATCCTATTTCCATCAGCAAGTGACCCAGCTCTGGCCAAGGAAATGTCAGGGGAATTCTGCTGAAGGGTTTCTGGGAAAGACTTTCTTCCCAGGTAAGAGAGAAGCACACAAAAAGGCCCCTTTTTCCTTGTCGCTTCTTTCCCAGTTTCGGTTTCTGTGATGAGAGGCCTGAGGCTTGAAACTGCTGTGGTCATCTCGAGACTACAAGAATGACACAAATACTGAACGATTACCAAGCCAATTAAGCATTCTGGAACCCTTCACCCTCAGATTTATTATTATTCAGTTGTTAAATGTCCTTATTGGTTAGCCACTGTTAGCTGGGTATTCTGTCACTCTCATCCAAAGTTATGCTTGATACTGTAACTCCCGTATGTGTGAAAATGCCTTTATTTCACTTCCATGCTGGATGAGTTCTGCCGGATATAGAATTCTTCTCTGACAATAGCTTTGCCTCAGCATTTTCACTGCGGTTTTCCAGCTATCATCTCACATTTCGTAGGTGAGTTTTCTTTCTGTAGCTTTAAAGATTTCTTCTTCATCCTTAACATTCTCCGATTTTACTATAATTTAACTGGGAGTTGATTTATTTGGCACTGCAGAAACTTCTTTGACCTGAAGGCACAAGCCTTTCTGCAAGTCTGGAGAACCCTCCGCATCATCTCTTTCCTCCTTCTCTCTTCCAACAGGTCCGTCTAGAATTCCTCTTGGACCTGCATTGCACCTCCTCAATCCATGTTTCTTCCTGGTTTCTAACTCTGTATTTCTCTGTGCTACATTTTGTGATCGGTCTCACTTCTATCTTTCAATTCACACATTCTCTTTTTATCTTCTCTAGTTTGCTATTTATCCAATTTATTAGGCCTCTAGAATTTCAATCATTGTGGTTTTCATTGTCAAGATTCCAAAATTTCAATTATTCATGGGGCTGTTCATGTTCATGGTCTTGTGTTCTGTTACAGATGTTATTTCCTCCTTTTATCTTTTTGAAAATCATCAACAAACATGTTGAATCCCATTCCAGATTGCTCCACTGCTTCTACCTCTTTGTCAGGACTGGCGATTATCTCAGGGCAGCGGATTACCTTCCTTGTATCCATCTCCTTTTACCTTGAATGATTTTCCCCTACTCAGTGCTCACCATCATGAGTACTCCAGGACATCACGAAGGTTTCCGAGTTCCCTCAGCCCAATCTTCCAGGCTGTCCAATTCACACCAGATCTTGTATTAGGAGTTCGGGGCTTTTACCCCGCCAAGAGATCAGACCTGAATGCAGTCAGGCCCAGTTCCTATTGTGAAACCAGTGCCTCTCCTGGTTCCCCAGGCCACAGGCACATGGTACTGTACTTTCTAGTGGCGATCAGACACATTTATTTAACCTTTAGTTCACAGATGCAGAGCCGTGGCCCTGCCCACAGCTTCACATAGGAAGCCCACCTGCAATCTCCTGACGAGGACAGACATGCTTTCGCCCCCATCTTACTATTACAGATATCTTTTCTATCACTGCCACACAGCTGGCTGTGTGTCCTAATATTTAAAAAATAATTTTCACTCATTCTTATATATTTGAAATGGAAAGGAAGGGTCTCGGCATACACCCACTCAGCAATGCTGTCCGGAACAGCCCCATGCTTCCAGATGCTGTGTTGGTAGCAAAGAAGACTCTGATAGCTCACTTGGGCATTTAAGATTCAAAACTCTGCACACTGCATTTACAGGAACCCAAAGAGGACTTAGCAGGCTTTAGCGATCATGTTCACTTACAGGCAAGTCTCTTAAGACCCGATTCTCTGCAACGAAAACTAAGTGGCTCACTGCATTTTAACTGGCAAAGAAGGTCGGGAAGTAGGTGTTTCCCATAAGCCCTACAAGGCAAGAATCAATGTAGAAAAACAGAAATATTTGAGGGCAAATTAACCAGATACAAATCTTAACATTCCACTCACTGGCTATGAAACCACAGGCACGACGTTATCATCCTGTGATAACAACCTAAAAGGGTCAATGTGTAGACTGTTGCATAAAACAGAAGGCAAAAGGCACCAGGCTCTAACTGAACACACTTCCCACGAGCTGCCCGGGCATTCTGGTCCAGAGCTCTGGCTCCGCTGTTCCACGGACCCACGCAACTTCCTCCAAGAGCAGACTGACTGCAGCCTTCTGAACCCAACACGGTCCTTCGGCTCGTTCCACAAGGACAAGGCAGTGAGAGCTCATAATCCACTCATTTTCCGGAACAGTGTAAGGAGGGCGTGGCAGTTTGTGTCGAGAAAGTAAGTGCGGTTAAGATCTTCCTTCAGGGTTTTGCTGGTAAAATAAGGCTTGATGGGGTCCACTCGGCCATGACGACAGAAATCCAAGTATTTGTGGAGTCTTTTAAAAAAAACATCGTGGAAAGAAAGACTTGAAGCATTATTTGTTTTCTCCCTGGTAATATTTTCATAGGGAAGTTTCCATTGATGAGGGTATCCATAGATCTAAAACAAAATTTTAAAAAATCATAATTAGCTCAATTTTTCCTTACAGTATATCCCTGGTATGTTCTGTCTGCAGTTTTCTTTTGACATTCCCCAAACCCAATGGAGGCAAACAGAGCTCCCTTCAACAACACCTAAATATGCTTGAAGACTTGAGAGTTAACTTCATTTGACATGAGAAGGCCTGAAAAATGCTGCAGCTGATACAGTTAAAAATAAAGGAACAGTTGCCACTTACTGAGCACTTACTATGTGACAAGCGCTGGACTAGGTAATTAATACTTGACACATGGCCCTATGAGGGAGATACTAATGTCCCCATTTTACAGCTGAGGTTGTAAAGCTTCAAGATCCCAAACAGTTTGCTCAGGCTCACTCATTTATTGTGACCAATAAACAGTAGAACAAGGGTTTTAACATAGGGCCACCTAACTTCAGAGTCTATGCCCTTACTACTGTCACACACTTTTATTTAAAAGTAAAAGAAACAAGTCAGTTACATGGTCAGTTATGCCTGAACTCATCTTATTCAAACCTGTGAGCATTGTTAGAGGAAGGGCCTCAGACTCACTTCTTTGAGGAAATGACAAGGACGCCAAGCTAAAGCTGAGAGTGCCAGGCAGGAGGTGGGGCGGTGAGGACAGTGGCTTCCCCGTACCTTTAAAGGCTGCCGAGTCCACTGCAGGCTTCAGATTCATCTCGCACTTGTCTCTGGGCAGCACAGATGGTGTCTTCTTTCACTTCCCTCCTCGGCTGGATTTCTCGTGTGACTCCAGAGACTATTTTCTCAACTTACGAAAAGATGACGACTAATTTTTTCACAGGGAGATAATCATGAAAAAAACCCCTATTCCATATCAGCCAGGAGGAGGCTTAATATTATTATTGATCTGTATTAGGCATAAATGACACTAACCCCCCCAAATAATTTAATGACACGTGTAAGATCTGATTTTAATGAGCGTACAGCAATTAGACAACAGACATTTGAAATCTGAACATACAGTAAATAGACATTTTTTAAAGTTAATATTTCAGGTCTTCCCATGAAACAGTCCTCCCTAAAGACACACACAGACACACACACACACACACACACACTTATCTGCTCATCTATACAAACTATTTCTGAAGGGTTCATAAAACACTGTGATACTGGTTGCATCTGGGTGGCTGAGATAGAAGGGGCAGACTTTTTCACCGTACATACTTTTATGCTGTTCCAACTTTGAATATGAACTACCTATTCAAGAACTAACAACGAACACTTAAGACAGGGTATCCCTAATATTTTAAATGTCCCAGTAATCATAGGAGAATAAACACACAAGAATGAAAATGTACAAAAAATTGTGATGTAACCTTTATGTAGTATGAAAGTCAATAATGGCCACTGGCTATTACTAAGTATTGCTTTACTGTTATACTACAAACTCATTCCCCAATCTGTGTTTCAAGAAGTCTGCTAGTTCCCAACCTGGGGTTCTGGATCTCTTAGGAAGCTAAAAACTAGCGGTAGTCCTTGATTTATTTACTATATTTCACGATGTTGCACTAGCTAAAATGCTGAATTACATGTCTTACGGAGACAAACTATTGCATATCAATCGGAAGCTATGAACTACAAAAAAAAGTCTAATAAAAATTTTTAAGGAAGTATCAACTAATTAGTGCCACCTGTTAAATAAATAAAAATCATGCAAATCATAAATTCTACGAGACTAAGAAAGAAAGAAAAAGACGTCCTTGGTGTTGAAAACCCCAGGAATCACTACACCCGTCTACAGCAGTGACTGGGAGAAGAGGGAAGAGCACTCCACGCTGTAGATCCACCTCCCACCCCACCCAGAGCAGGGCCAGGATGCATCACTCCCCTTCCTCCTCCTTGGCTTTGCAGCAGCTTTGCCACGGGAAGGGATCTGGTGTTGGGGGAAGAAAAGGAAGGTGCCTATCGCTGCCCCTATCTCTGTACACTCACCCTTCTCCGAGTTTCTCTAAGACGTCAAACACTTCTTCTGGTTGTTTGGTGAGACTATCTTCATCCAACTTCTTCAGCTGCCTGTGAATGAAGAGATAGGAACACAAATTAAATTTTATGTGCTGGCAAGTAGAACATGAATACAGTGCTTATTTTAAAAGCAGTGTCTTAGGAATTTCTCTACGGAGTCTTCATGAGTGAACAACAACTAAGGTTAACTAAGAGAATTTTAAGGGACAGTGAAGGGCGGTTATACCATGGGTCATTCTGATGAGCAAAATCAGGACCGGATGGTGGAGAGCTACTGAGAAGCTAACTTCAGTGTCCAACAAGTTTAAGAGTTTTGTTTTTTTTTGTTTTTTTTTTTTAACAATGCAGGTGGTTCTAAAGTGGTTCAGAGGGCCTTAAGGAGCCCCTAGGTCCTCATCACTGGAGACTTGAAACAGAAAAGAAATTGTCATGTGACTGAAATGCTAGTAGAGTGGATTCAAGCATTAGATGCCACCTTCAGAATTCATGTAAATCTTAATACTCCGTGAATGAAAACGGTCTAACTCTCTCTTTGGAAAAGAAGACCCTGGCTCTCCCTTAGCAAGTTGTTGATAATCTTTTTGAAACAGAGATTCTACAGGTATCACTGGGGCAGGTAATGGAAGATATATGCTTGGATGTGACCAAAAGTGAAAGACAGCCAGGCAGCTGAGAGTTTCAGTTCGTATCACGAGAACTCCCCGCTGAGTAGCCCTGCACCTCTGACTAGCCCCCAAATCAAATACAGGTGGTTACTACAACTTCTGGATAATCCAGATTTTTCTGACTACCCCAGACAATGGTAATAAACACTGGGGGTTATACATTAACAATATTTTTGGAACTCTGAGACCTCTGAAAATTATCAGTGGGCTTATTGAAGGAGCTTGCTAAGGAATATTTGTGTGAGTGTGTATCTTCCCACAGAGACTTCCTGAACCTACAAAGGGCCACAAAGAAAAGAGAGCTCAGGAAGTGGTGAAATATGAAGTAGTCACACTGGCGATTTCTTTGTACAGAAAAAGGTTTGAACTAGCTGAACAATACCAATTTTTACAAAAAAAAAAACAACCCTGAAATTTAAAACACACACACAAATGTATAACTTCCTAGAGAAAATAACAAAATCAGAAGAAAACAACAACACTCTAAACAGTGTCAACAAATACTGATCTACACAGGACAATCTTATGGAACTTTCTAAACACCAAAGACTGTGTACTCGAGAAATGCAGTTTTGTTCCAAGTCAGTAACTGCCATAACTTGAAAAATTAATGCAAAAAAATTGACCACACTGACCTTTGAAAAATCAACAGGTCCTAAAAATTAAATTCCAGTGACATCATAAAAAACTCCCAGCTGCCCAATGTAAAGGGCTGAAGTGAAACTCCTCCTCAAACTTCAGCAGTGAGATTTCGATGAACTCCGAGGTTAGAATGACATCTCATAAATCAGGGGCTTTCTTGAAGCCCTGTATTTATAACTATATAAACAACAGACAATACCTTATTCCTCAAGTATAATTAAAAGTTTTATAAACAGTTTACGTAAAGGGAGATCAAATGTGCTCTTCTGAAGTGCTGACTCTGTGGCTTACAGACAGCAAAACTCATGATTTGGACTACCCGGCGACCATGGCGGCACAACCAAGGAAACCGCCGCTGCCCAGAGAGAGACAGCTGTGAGCCTCTGATAATATTTGCACGTCAAATTTGATGGGACTGCTCAGATACTTTTTAAACACAATCTAAGTGCTTTTTTGTTTGTTTTAGGTTGGTCTTAAGAGAGCTCTGTATCACTGGTGCCTGATAACCCGGAGGTGGTCCACAAATATTTGTTAAATGGGTTAATGAATATAATGAGGGGAATCATAAACTTTTCTCAGCAATCTTTGTGAGTTTTCAAAATAAAATGGAATTTCACCCTAAGATGTACCAGGGGGTTGTCGCCAAACAGGATTTCTATGGGAAATGGTTTGATAAGTGATGCGATGATATTTTATACTGTGACTCTTTGCGAAAGAAGCGCTGGAACGTAACAGCCAGCTGACAATTCAGCTCTCTCGGCCAGGACTTCCCCAGGGCCTACACAGTTTCACTGCTCGCTCACAAGCGAACAGGCCTGGCCGACACATCCTCCATGGACCAGACACCAACGGATACTCTTCTGCTAAGTCAGGTGGCCACACGGATGGCTCGCATCCCAGAAATGCACTCTACCCCTTCCGCCACACTGTTACCTAACAACAACCCACTAAAAAAATCAACCTCCTACGTGACCATGGACGTTAATCTAGCATCACTCACTGAGTCACACGCAAATGTCAAACTCGTGAACACAAGGAGCATTTCCTGCACTGGGACTGCTGTCCCTTGCTGGAAACACATACACTGTCCAGATCCCTGAAAAGATACATGTACCTTTCCAAACACAAATAAGGCTGGTTGTGAAGTAGTTACGGGTCTGGCTAAATCTCAAACTTCCTTCTCCCATCTTAGGGCTCTGGTGAGGTTCATTTCACGTCTGCATCTGCAGCCGGCTTTCCACAGAGTATTTGACACAGGTAGGTTACAACACAGAACAGAAGGGAAACTGATGAAGCCTTTTCTAATGAAAATAAAAGCAATGTGTTCCCACCTCCTCAATTCATAGGCTGAAGTAACTCTGCATGTGACTATTTGGAGGCAGGGCCTTTACAGAGTTAATTACGGTAAAATTAGGCCACATGGTGTGGGCCCGAATACAATATGACTGGTGTCCTTAAGGGAGGACATGAGGACATGAGGACACAGACGGGTACACAGGGAAGAGGTATGAAGACATAAAAAGGAGACAGCCATCTACGGGCCAAGGAGAGAGGCCTGAGAAGAAACAATCCTGCAGACACTGTATTCTCAGACTTCCGGCCTCCAGAACTGTGAGAAAATACATTTCTATTATTTAACTCACTCAGTCTGCAAAACCAAATTGCAGTCCTAACAACCAGTACAAATGATAATAAATTAATCTGCTGCAAACTAGGCGGTCCCTTAGTTATGTGAGCAAGAAAGGGTGAATCACTCGAAAATTCCACCTGCGATGCTCTTCTCTTGCACATCGAATTCACTTTTAAAACCCAAAAGGCAAAGGAATGAGTGTCAAAAAAACTGGAAAAATTTACTCTTTTTCCCAAGATTACACAACACAAAGCAAAGGTAGAAACAAAATTCAGATGCCTGATCCTCTTTTCAGTGAAAGCTAAGCCTCGGAAAAAGAATGAACATGTTTCAGAAAGCTATATAACCAGTGTACATTTATAACTGGATCACTATGGTGCTTTAGCAAATTTTGTTGACATACAAAAGCACCTGGGAAATAAGGATACTTCCAGAGAGGTATCAGAGTCAAGCTGTTAAGAGCACGGACTTTGGACCACACTGCCTGGATTAAAATCCCAGCTCTGCCACTTAGTAACTATGGGACCCCCAGCAAATCACTAACTTCTCCGTGCCTCTCAGTTTTACCACCTGTAAGATAGAGACACAGAAATAACCACCTCAGAGTATTGTTGTGGAGACCAAATGAGTCAATAAGAAGTTGAATCAGCCCTAGGTGTGGCTCAGTGGATTGAGTGTCGGCCTGCAAATCAAAGGGTCATCGGTTCGATTCCCAGCCAGGGTACATGCCTGGGTTGTGGGCAGTGTCACCAGTTGGGGGGATGCAAGAAGCAACCACACATTGATGTTTCTCTTCCTCCCTCCCCCTCTCTCTAAAAATAAATGAATAAAATCCTTTTTTAAAGAAGTTGAATCATATGACATTATGATTTTATAGGTCAAAAATGGTCAAATATCAGCAATTTCATTTGGTTCAACAAGAGACCTGGAAAGCACTGAGCACAGTGTCTGGCACTCGGTAAGTGCTGTATGAGGGTAACAATCATTATTATTTCAGTCTTAGCTCACCCCAGGAGGGTATCTGTCCCAACCAGCTATTTGCCCTCTGCAGAGTTTGTGTACTTCAAACCAACCCCGAGTGCGCATCCCAGGCTGCCAATCCCTTCCCTTCACCCCTTTATTGCCCCGCACTCCCACACACCGAACACTTCCTACTTTGGTGCTCATTCTGCTGCAGGAAGTCAGAGGTCTCCGTGAAACAGAAGCTAACTACTCTGCACCCCAGAGAAGCATGACTCCTCCAATCTCTACTGTCTACTTTCTCCAGATGTGGCCGAGTGACATAAGACCCTGGTGTCCACAGAGCAAAGCAATGATACAACCGCAACCAACCCAGGAGTTCGGACTTTGCAGGCTCAGCTTGACTTAAAACAATTCCAGGTAGCCTAGGATCTGGGGCCGATACTCGCAAAACAATAGAGGCCTGAAAAAGGCAATGACCCAGAGCAAAGAAGGAAACTCACAGGACTGTGTTTCAACTCTCCCAGGCCTCAATTTGCCCACCTTGGAAGCATTCTCGTATTTCCTTATCTACCTCCCAGCATTGAGTTTTTAAGGTTCATGGAGGATGTTGAGGGAAATAAGACAGTGGGTATCAGGAATGAAAGATGCCATCACTATTCTAGAGTGAGGACAAGATCATCTTCCTAAATGCGATGCTCCACGAAGCCCTCCCTAGCTAGACCTTTACCCTTTCTTGGTACACCTACAGCTTTAGGACCAAAGCTTTCACCCTCATCAGATCCTCCCCGCCTCTGCACCCCTCAGGTGGGACTCCCTCCCTTACCAAATCCACCCGGCCTTCCTCTCTGCTAGTCCGGATCCATCCTTTAGACCTCTTACAGGATCTCATCTTGCTTCAGTATCCCTCCCGATCTCAATGAATCCCTTCCAGGATCGCCCTCCCCCAGTATCCACCCCCCCCCCCGCACCCTTAGCAGGTGCTCTCCCAAACTTGTCCCCACGTTCCCCGGCTGCTACTGCCTTTAGCGGTGCCCTCCTGCGCCCTGGAATGACCCCACAGCAAGTACTCTCCCCAACAAGCCCTACATTTATCCCCCCTCTTCATGTGCACCTCTCTATAGGACGCCCACTCGCCAGAGGTCCCCATTCAGCAGGTGCCCTACAAGCCGGGTCGCCACGCCCCGCAGGTGCCTTCTCTCTGCGGGCTTGCACACGCATGTCTCTCCTCCACCAGCCCCCGCCTTTCCTCCCCTCATCCCCTTCGTTTTAGCCAGTGGCCCCTCACCGGCGCGGCGGATTCCTCAGCTGCACCGTCTCCATGGCGCTGCCGGCAGCCGCCTAGACCCGCTCACTGCTCCATCCTCCCCTTGGACCTCCCAGAGCCCGCCCCGCAGACCCTCCCACACTTCCGCTTTCCGCCCATACCGGAAGCGGAGCGCGCTGGGAGCTGGGCGCGGCCGTTTGGACGCGGCCCGGGTCACGTGGTGCGCGGGGGGGGGTGGGGCGGTGGACCCGGAACTGTGGCGGCAGGAAGTCTCCTGCCCAGAGTGTCCACAGCCAGGCTCCGGACGTCGTCTGGAGTTGTCTGGTTGCGCCGCTGTTTGCCGAAAACTGTTGGTCTTCCCCCCGGCCCGGAACCCTTCTCTGCCTCGGTCCCGGGCTCTCATTTCTCAGGAGGAGATACTGAGGCAACGTGCGAAGCGCTGGCTTGATAAGAGCAGTGGATTCTTAACAAGCCAAGTTGTACGCGATTCCTGGGAACCTCGGCTCCAGGGATTCCTGGAGGTATTGGTGGTTTTCTGGCTTTCTTACCCAGTGGAATTCTTCCAGATGGAGGCTGGACCCTGCATACTCTAGCCTTGCATGTCACAGAGCATCGGCCTGCAGATTGCCCCACCCTATTGCTTAACTGCCTCACCTTTGAGTCACTTTGCAGACATAAAAATAGCTAACATTTTTTTTAGCTCTTGCCATGTAGTTGCTTTTACATATTATCTCACTTAATCATTGTATCAAGCCTGTAACGTTACTCCCAGTTTTACGTATTATTTGATACACAGTCTTACTATGCCCTCAGTGCTTTAGTAGTATGAACTTACTTAATGCTCCGATCAACTTCATAACGTAAGTCTGATTATTACTCTCATAAGGCCACAAAAGTGAAGATCACAAACTCATAGTATAGGTTTAGGGGTTTAAAGTCAAGTTAGTCTGATTTAAGAGCCTGTGCCACCAGACTGTACAATCACTGATGTGTCCCCTCCAATTGGACGTGAGAGTCAGAGAGCTTCCTTTCCTCTCAGAGCTCTGGTTTCAACTACTGCCGTTGGTAAATCCTCAGTTGCCAATGCCATCAGGGAGTGTTAGGAAAAAGGCAGATGCCACTCAATTTACCATGGAGACAGTTACAGAGGAAGACTTACCCATAGCAACTTTCACTGTTTTTAATTGTCCTGCTTTTCCCAAAGTTATGCCATCTATGAAATTTAACACCTGAGCAACTACCTCTGAGGTCCACCCTGGTGGATGGTACCCCATATTCTAAAAATGCGATCGTGGAGCCATGACCCTGACACAGGAAGAAAATATTTACTAAGGATCTAGTGTGTACCAGTTACAACCCTATGTTGTCACTTAATCTTTAAAACAACACTATGAAGTAAGAATTATCCCCAGTTTACAGGTAAGGAAGCTAAGACTCACTTATGCAGGGCTAGTGAGAGCAAAGGTTTTAACCCAAGACTCTCCTAATTCCACAAAAACCCATGTTTTATTTGCCACTTTGCTCTATTAAGAATCTGTACAGATGGCAGTGGGAGCCCTGAGGAAGTTAAAGATCAAGGAGAGTTTCTACAAAGTTCAGGAAGCCATCACAGGTCCCTCCTGCAAGAAGTCAATTTTCTGTCCTCTGAAATCCCAAGCACTTTTCCTACGTGACCTTACTTTTTCCATATGTTCAAGCCCTGCTGCCCACTGAATTTTTTCCTCCTGGAAGGATCTGACCTCCTATTGTGCCCACATGCTCATCCCTGTAGATGAGTAGGTACTCAATAAACATTTAAAAATAAATGTCAGTTTATCAATACACAGTGGTATTGTCCCTTCTTTGTGTCCTTCCCAGGATTTTTCTAGAAAATAGACATTAGCTTTGGAAGGTGCATAATGCTTTTTCCACTGGTGGAGGAGGGGCCCCGAAGGCCCACCCAGTTTCAAGGAGAGCAGACACAGATCCTATCTCTTGATGGGGGAGTGGGAATATTGTTTTGGCCATTTTTGGAAAATACAGTTTGCCACAAGTGTACTTGGGTGGTGTACCACTTAGAATGTATCCAGTTGCAAGCAACTGGGGGGAAAAAAATCCAACACACCAAACATCTAAATGGTGACCTAAGGCACTGAGGCACTTGTTTATTAATTTGAGGTTGACTCACTGGCTTAACAATGTCAATTGCATCCTGCTCTCTCCTACTCAACGTGTTGGCTTCTCATGATTGTGTATTTATTGTTTACAAAATGTACCACACCTCAAGGTATCATGCCCTTAATCCAATGCTAAAAGATCAAAAAGAGCAAAAGAGGCTATTTTGAAGTCCTGTACCTCCTTACGGGGAAGAAAAACTTTCCTATGAGCCCCTAGCAGACATCTTACCTCTTTGGTCAGATCAGATTACATTCTAACCTCTTGACCAATCACTGGCAAAAGAGAGTAAGATTATTGTTGGTACCTGTCAACCCCCCCACCACCACGGAAATGAATGTACCTGCTAAGAGGGGCTCCTGGTGACTAACTGGGCTCAAATTTATAAACAGCCTAGCAGCTGGTGCTAAACATGGGTGTCTCATTCATGCCATGCTTCACAGAAAAGCCACATTGAACTACAGCATATTGTACTGTGTTCCTGGCTGCTGAGCCAACCTTTATTTAAAAAAAAAAAGAGTTTCTGGGATTAAATTGTACCAATGGGATTGAGATTTTTCCATGGCCATTGGAACTGCACATCTCTATCCTCATTTTCATCTTTATCAAACAATCAAAGTGACTCCATTTTGACCGATTAGTAGCGCTATTTAAACCAATCATAGTCTGAGGATTTGGAGTCCTTATTTGCATAGAAATGGGCCAATCAGTAGCAGGGGGCGGGCACTCTTCTTAATATAAGTCCAGGTTCCTCTGTGTCTACTTGGGGCTCACTTTTTGGTTTCCTTTGGTGGGAACGTATTTCACGTCTGGCATGTCCAGTTTGCTTAACCACCGAACTGTTTCACAGTTGAGCTTTAGACAGTGAACAAAGTTCCCCCCTTTACCGTGCCCCATATTGGTGTTAGATTGGCAGCGAGTCTCATCTGGTTCTCCTGCCACATGAAGTGTTCATTCTTTCCTCTTCTATGAGGCCTGAGCTGGGCTGACAGGCTTCAGATAGAATGGTCACCTAGCCCTCAGAAAGTTTATAGTCTAGTGGGCTAAGAGTTTAAACAAATAATTTTAATTAGATTCCTGAAGGCAGAGACCAGGTCTTTGTCAGCAAATTTCCTAAGTACCTATTGGGTGCCAGGTCCATTAGGTCTTGGGCAGGAATAGATATAGACCCACTTCCTGCCTTTAAAGCCCTCAAAGTCTTTGAGAAAAACTGTAAACTGACAATCACAGAGTGATAAATGCTAAATTAGGGATAAACCAGAGGAGCAATAGGAGCAGAGGCAGGAGGATATTCATTCATAGGCAGAGCTTTCATAGGAGATGATATTTAAGTTGATTATACGTTGAGTCTGGATAAGGCAAGAGAAAACATATTTGGGAAAAAATTCCAGGAGAGGGGAGAAAAGGCAAAGGCAAAGGTTAGGAAGCAAGAGAAACAGCATAATGTATGTAAGTAGCAAAAGGCAGTTTTTAAAAATGGGGTATTAAGTGGAATATTAAAGTCAGATGAGGTTGAAGATAAGTTGATTTCCCTCAGCTTGTCAGTACATTCAGCTATCATGTATATATAATATCTATAAAGCACAAGGTGCTAGTTTACAGCCTCAGCATTTTTGCTCTTTATTTTTTAAAGATTTCATTTATTTATTTTTAGAGAGAGGGGAAGGGAGGGAGAAAGAGGGGAAGAGAAACTCCACGTGAGAGAGAAACATCCATTGATTGCCCCTCCTATGGGTTTCAACTGGGGACCAAACCTGCAGCGCAGGCACATGCCCTGACTGGGCACCCGACCAGCAACCTCTTGCTTGGCAGAACCAGGTCCAAGCAACTCAGCCACACCCCTCAGGGCAGTGCCTTTGCTCTTGCTATACCTCTGCCTACATCTTCTCGGGTCTCAGCTCAATTATTAGTCCCTCAGAGATGCCTTCCCCAACACCTTATCTAAAATAGTTTACACGTGGTCCCTTTCTAGTGCATTAGTGTTTTGTTTTTCTTCCGGCACTAATAACATGAGATTATCCTTTTCATGTGATCATGGGTCCTTGCTTGTCAGCTCTCACTAAATGTAAGCGCGATGTGAGCTGGGACCTGCAATCTTTCCCTGTTTCATCCATAACGTTTCAGCAACTGTAGGAGGCCCTCGTAGCTCCAGACAGCTGGTTTGGCGACGTCAGCTCCAAACTGGGCATGCGCCGTGCGCAGGGAGCCAGGCACGGCAGACCCCCGAGGCAGGCAGGCCCCACCCCCGGCCCGCAGTGTCCCTCCCCCTCCTGGCCAGCTCAGCAGTCCGGCAGCGTCCTCTCCGCCTGGGCTTTATCCCCGGGCTCTGATCCGTAAGACTCGGCGGGAACGGAGGCGGCCGCCATTTGCCGGCCGGACCCCCAGGATGGCCCCCAAACTCCCAAACTCTGTGGAGGAGCTCCGCACCGCTGGCAACCTGAGCTTTCGCAACGGCCAGTTCTGCGAGGCCGCCACGTACTACAGCCTCGCGCTGCGGATGATGCTGGAGCGAGGTACGACCCTACCCCCGCCACCCGCCTCCGTTTCCTCCGCCAGAGCTGCTTCTCTCCCCCGTCTCCCCCCGCCCCCCCCCGCCCCAACTACCCTGTCCCAGTTTTGGGGGCCCTCCTTGCCCTGCGAGCCGACTGTCTCCCCCCACAACCGCCCCCCCCGGAAACCCCCCGGCACTCCCCCCACAACCCCCATCACCCCGGGCGCTCCCACTAACCTTCCCGTCCATTCCCCGCGGTGGTTATCCTACGAGAAACTTCCATGCCCCTTTCTTCCCGCCTTAAAAAAAAAACCAGTATGGTTTTATTACTGGTTCTTTTTCACTTAATGGCATGTCAGAAACATTTCCGTGTTAATAGATCTTTTATCTCTTTTTGGTTGTGGTAAAAAAACATTAAATTTACTATCTTAAATCATTTTTAAGTGCAGTGGCAAATTCATGCTATTCATATTGTGCAGCG